TGCATTCCAGCTAATTGTGATGCTGAGACAACCAGCGAGCAAGCAGGAACTGAGCAATCAGAAATTGATACGTGTTTGTCATATCTAGAGCTTTGCCTGAAGCTAGAGGCTCCTGTGTTGATTGTCATAACCAAATTGGACGTTGCTTCCCGCAGCGGACTACGGGACAATCTTGGAAGAGTTCTATCTGCACTGAAAACGGCTGGACGACAACCTGCAATGCTACCTGCATCACCCGCAGGCGACAAACCACTTGACCTCCAGAAAGTCAGCACGTTGGACAATACTCAAGTACAGAAAGTGTGCGTGGCAGGTGATGGGAAATGGGGACACACCGTACCTATCTTGCTTACCAGTTCTGTGGATGGCTCTGGCATTGGAAAACTCCATGCCTTCCTTCGGTCTCTTCCCATTCCTGCACGACCCTCTCAAAGAACTCTTCGCATCCCTCAAGGCCTGCCAACAGCCTCCCACAGCTCCGCCAATATCTTTGATGTGGATGAAGTGTTTGCAATCCCTCCCTCAAAAGTCTACTCACTAGACTCGGAGAAGAAAGGTGGCCAAGAAAACCGCGGCATGGTTCTCTGCGGCCTAGTCCGTCGCGGGAATATTTCCATCGGCGACGAAATGATCATTGGCCCCATCTTAGTGGATGTTCCAACCGACCAAATCAATGAGCCCCAACCACCGGGAGGGTCACTGTCCCGCAGTGGGCCCGGCCCGCCGGGAGATTTCCCGGCATCCTTCCCGCAGAACTCATTGTCCGGCAAAGATTCGCAAGCAAGATGGCAACGTATCCGCGTCGTCAGCGTAAGAGTCCTCCGACTTCCTGTCCGCCGCCTAATTAGAGACCAAGTCGGAACAATCGGAATCGAACCGATTGGGGTTTCAGAGGATGGCCGTCTACCGCGTTTCGGCCGGATCCGTAAGGGCATGGTTCTCTCAAACTTCCACGCCCCACTCTCGTCCTCGAATGGAGCCTCGTCTGCTTCCTTATTAGCACTACCCTTCCACACAGGCTTTACCGCCACCTTCCGGTCTACCGAGTTCTCTGCTCCAAATTCACCTCCACTTTTGCTTGGCGGTAATGCTATTGCATACATCGCCAACATTCGAGCTACTGTCCGTGTCATTTGCATGGCGTTAACTGGGACTGGCGAGGAACTATCTTCCGAACCTCCTTCTCCAACGGAACCCGAATTCTTCAGCTTTGATGGCGATCCTCATTCTCCAAGCGAGAAATCAAGTGACAATCCTACAACAAACGATACCGTGGACGGCGCAGGTGATGCAGTTCGCCGCCGTCCCTCGGCAACGGATATCAGCAAAGTGATATCTGGCGTTTCGTCTGCCTCCGTTGTTGGAGCTGCTTCTTCAGCTGAAGCTCTGAAAGAGGACGTCAAGATTACTTTTGCGCTAGTATCGTCTGTTGAGTGGGTGGAACTCGGGTCTCAGGTTCTTGTTATGCCTGGTATCTCTATGGTGTCTGCCCCATCCCAATCCGGGGCCACGGTAGCATCTGCACCCGGCTCTAGCTCTGCTTCTGGGACGGCATCCATGTCAGGGTTGGAAGGGTTTGTGGGGACTGTCTGTGAGGTTGTTCCTGGGAGAGTTCCAGTTGCAGACAGCTAGGCTAAAGTCTTTCAAATATTTCACGACAATTGATGGCATACTTCATTTCTATTATTTGTGAGCGTCTTTTTGAGCCGTTTGATCCACCAGCCATCTAGATGTCTGCTTTCAGTGTTCATAGCGTTTTATTTTATATTTGTTTTATTCTCATGTCTGTCCGTATGTGGACTGAGTCGTCATTAGCTGTCAAACTAAGACACATTTACATAATCAATGGCTGAAGGGTGCAATATCATTGTCCTAAGAAAGTGTTGTCGTAGCAATTGACTAGGTTACTATGGATTGTCTCGTATTCTCAACTTGAGCACACCGACCCAGCCAAAAGCAAGACACAAGGCAAATAGGTTGGCAGCAACGCAAACGGTCTAACTTGATGACAAGCAGAGCCCATCGGATAGCTGGTCCACGGCATCTATTTTCTTAGTAAAGCAGGCCATCCCCAGCCAAGAACGCGCAGTGTCCCGTCGGATCCGCTTTCGAATCATCTCTATCCCATTGCAATGTCGTTTTTTTCGCTTGGGTATTTCTATCAACTTTGTTGATCAAGCGCCACCAAGACGCTCGATTCGACGCCAGACCTATCCACAATTTCATCGGAGGACTGGGTTTTCGGTATTTGCGTGATTGGGCACATTATCCACCTTTGCGCTGGTCGTTAGGGACACTCGGATGGCGAGAGAAAGTGCTGGTTGAGCCGATGGTGGCACTGGCATTGCGAAGCTCAATCTTCTTGCGCTCCATCTCGAGCTAAATTTCACAATGTTAACTCATGTGCTGGGACTCATTAATTAGACAACTTACCACCTTGCGCACTCGAGCAAGAGCAGCCGTATCACCTTCCACGATCGAACGACAATCATCAATGCGGTAAGGAGCACCAATTGTCACAGCATCAGCGACGATGATGTTGTGGCCGTTCCATCGCGCGGGCATAGTGCGACTGAAAGCATCAAATAGATCCTGGGCCTGGGTAGTGACGCCCTTACCACGACGCGCCTCACGGTCAAGCGCTTCACCGATGGCCTTTGACTCGCGGGCCCTGAGGGCACGGGTGTCGAGTGCCTGGATCGTGGGTTGTGCGTCTGTGAACGAGGACGAGCTGGAGTTCGAGGGCGGGGCGAGGGCGAGGAGCTGGAAGTTCTGGATGCGCGAGATGGGGATCACACGGTAGTCGCCGTCCTGCGCCTGTTTGGCGTCACCGGGGTTGGGTGCGGGGGCCGTGTTGATGGCGACGAGATTGGTGATCGGGCATGCTGTGAATAGCGTACCTTCGAACGTCGATGGGATTGGCTGTGCGGTCGTGATACGAATGCTAAAATGCGAGAACGAAATAGGTCAACACCTGCGACTATGTATACACCTTCGTTGACAGATAAGACTCACCGGGCACCGATCGCCCCGCTCAGTGCTGCCTCCAAGGGCACTATGGGTGTCGCCATCCCGGGGCCTGCTGCGTTACCAGATTGTTTCTGCGCAGAGCCCTTTACTGAAGCCTGACGCTTGTTCTCCGCCATAGACCTATAACTCTGGCCTTCACGTATGAGCTGCTCAGCGACCACGATAGGCTGTTCCCCTCCAGATGAAATAGAGTCCCGTTGACTGTGTGTAGCGCAGTAGTCGAGACCTATACGACGGTGTCAGGACATTGGAAGCAGATCAGCACAAGTTGAAGTCGGCTTGCCCTGCGAGGAGCTATTGCACCCCGGATTGTTGGTCGAGGGTGGGCTGGACGGCGCTGTCAATCGGGTCCTCTATTGAGAAACGAGTGTGGCTCAGGTAGAGCAGGCAAACTGGCACAACCCCAAAAAAAGAGAACAGAAAACAAGCACCACACCCAAACCAGGAATTTATGGAGGAACAATGGGCTCGAGGGCTTGCGATTAGATGGCAGGGTCGACGTTGCACGGATGCCCTTTTGGGTTTAGTGCTAACATTCGATTACTTCATCGTCGCCTCAGGCAACGATCTATATAAATCAACACAAAGCACGACATCTTCCAGTGATTCTATCTTCAATAGGGTGTTGAAATAAAATATTTCTTACTATGGGATTGAAAGATTGTACCGTATGCACTACGTATTCCACCAACTCCATTATACAACATATGTATGCAATGTACGTAGTCAACATGTATTGCTGATCAGATTGCCCCTCCAGTCCATAGAAAGAAAATCCATGTCAATTATTGAATGACCTAGATGATGATGAATGACTTATGGAACTTATTAGGGGTATATTATGTGTTTATCAATAGATCTTTTTCCAAATAATAATAATAAAAATAACCTGGAAAATAATAGGTTCACTATACACCAATTGTATATTCGCAAGGAAGTAGAGAAGGAACGACAAGCTTTAAAACTTCAAGGTTATTCCCATCCCGTAACATATACCAAGATCATTGAGACAAATTGTGTTTATTATTTCTTGAGTTCAAAGAAAGTAAGAAATGAATACCTTGAAAAACATATACTAAGTTAAACTTGAGTTACAAGCTAGAAATGCAATTAAAGAAATCGTGCTATTCAAGAACAAAGGTGGAAGGAACCTCATAGTGTAGATAGTGCAGATAGTGTAAATAATCTCAATGTGGGACTAGCTGTGTATTTATGTCATGTTACTTTTCCTAATTTTTATAAATATACAATAAAGAGTTGAAGTGAACTAGACAAAAGGATGAGTTCAACTGTATATTCACACTAGTTACTAATTGGATATTTTTGATGAGGAAAAAAGGGTTGGCAGAAAGAAGGCTACCCGCAAGCGGTCAATCGACTGATGCGGTTGGTACGGATCAAAATTGTTTGAACTTGCTTCGTCTGACTAATTTGAAACATTCTAAGGAGCAAAAAGATTGTCGTTTATTGGTAAGATGGCCGAGTTGGTCTAAGGCGCCAGGTTAGTTACCAGTCATTCTGTATAGTAGAATTTCCACTAATTATATCACAGACTTAAGTATCACTCTAGTGTGCTTTCTGGTCTCGAAAGAGGCGTGGGTTCGAAACCCGCTCTTACCATCATATCTTTTTTTTTATCCGTTATAGGTTAGGCACCGAGAATTTATTCGTTCGCAGTCTACGGCAGTTGTCTCCAGACTATGAGACGATCTCTGAGATCCGCAAAGCTATGTTGTTATCCCACGTGTAAACATCCATCCTTCTTGGTATACGGGGTTTTTAATGAGATTGACAGCTATCAGAATCCAACAAAGCGTGGATATATATACTACCAAGTTCATTCTACGATGTGTCATAGGCGATGCCCAGGTCATGTCTTCTACTTTCGATGCTTTGTGAAATTTCAACCTGGGAAGATTCTTATGCGCTGCACTGCTATATTCACGTATGATATCCCAAGGGTGATACCGCTAGTCAAATTGAATCGATATATACTCTGATCCCAGCCTCTGGCCATTGATCCACACTGAAATTTCCGTAGAGGCACCGGATGGCACCATCTCAAGTGTGTAGCAGAGTTTCTGGAACCTTCGACCACTGGAAGTTCCATGTACTTCCCAGGCACTGTATCCAAAATGCCCAAGCTGGAACTCAATGGTAGAGTGTAGCGTCACAACGTGAGTCTTGTACTTAGGTGGGTATTCGCTTTCGCACTGATAAATACTGAAATCTAAGGAAGATGGTAGGGAGTCTTCCATGCTCCGTGACCTATACATGTTCTTCCTGATAGGACGATCTGTTTCAACCTCATTCCCCTGCCCAAATTTATTAGTTTGATAGTTACCAAAGCGAGAATATAGTCGGTGGCACAACATACTCTTTTAATATACCACTGCATCACATCACGCACTTTGTAACAGCCCTCAACCTCATCGAAAAACCTATTCTTTTTGCGATGAACTCCTTCCTGAAAATCATATATCATTGGTATACCCAGAGATGTTCTGGAGATAGTTGAAAGGATACGAGGAGCGTTTGGTATATACCCGTCGATTGGAGCAGCTATAAGACCTTTGAGAATGGCCCCGCGGCAGATGGCAGATCGCCTTTTCAGACAGATTTTAGATAAGTATACTACTATAGCAAAATCAATCATAAAAAGAAGACTTACACTTGGTCTTTGTCTTCAGAGCGATAAATATCGATGCCTTGGCTGTCGTATTTGGCTTCAAGGGATTCGAATAGATAGTCGCTACAGCCGAGGCCCCCGACAAGAATAATTCCCTTGATATGAAATGAGTATTTCAAGCCTCATAGAAACGAGACCTTGCTTACCGTCACACTAAGGCCTTTGTCTTGAGCTTTGTCTATTTGCGTGCCCACTAGTTCAAGAAGCCCAGGAGTAGCTCTGGCGTCAAAGACCTCCCTAATGTCAGAGCTGAATATAAAGTTAGTGGAAGGTAAGTAATGGGTTGACTGAAATGAACTTTCCTTGAAAAGTGTATAATACCTCTCTTGATGTGAGGCATGCGGGATGTATCTTGCAAGTCTGCACCCGATAATGGACCGTTCTCAATGGATAGCAACCATTTAGCGCGGGGGTCTCTTAAAGAGAATCGCGGTTTAATGTCGACCTCCCATTCATCTTCTAGAATGGCGTTTTGGTGTGCTTGGCTGAAGTGAGACCACTTGCGACCAATACGCTTTGAGCATTTTGTTATGAAATCTTCATCAATGAATATCCCACCACAAAGGGCGCCTGTACATTGTAAGTATGTTGGCAACTGACGTATCTTTTCCTGTACCAAAATGAGCGGAGAATAGCACTGGCTCACCATCGCCTTCGACAGCCTCGCCCAACTCGAGAGGCTGAGTGTCCACAACTTTGTAGGTGATCACATCCTATTGAGATCACCAAAAGATTAGTTGGTACCGCGTTGAATACCACTCTTGTCACCACAGAACCAAAGGCCACTTACCACGGTCCCACCCCCGGCATCGCAAATTACGTACACTTCGCCTGGGCTAATGTTGGTACCATATTCCAGCAGTGCTGTCAATGCGGCTGCCTCTGGCTCGGGTGCAAGGATCAAGGTTGTCTCGCCGGCGCTGCGATATTCGAGAATCCCGGCATTTTTGGCGGCTTCTTGCATGGCAGTACGTGCATAATCTTTCCAGATAGCGGGCACGGTGAGAACCACATGGAATTGGAGAGTTTCAATCAGGTAATCTGCGTGGCCCTTGCGAATCATCTTGAGAGTATGTCTCCAAAGTGCGCGGAGATAGTCTGCAATGCAATCCTCGGCAGTTTTTCCCCAATCGCGCAGCAGCTTTTTGACTTTGATAAGCTGTTCTGACTCCCGAAGATCTTTCCACATGTCCTCCTCCTTTAGCAAAAGGAGCTTGAACCATTGTACCGCTGGTCCGGTGTTGTCAACTTGAAATCCCCATAAAGGCTCTTTAGCCCTGTTCTCGTAGCTTAGCCGAGTTGGAACCTTTGCTTCGTCGTTGCTGGTCCCGGGCCAATCGGTGATAACGTTGATATCATCCTTGTTAAAGCGGGCCACGGTTACCCACGATACACCAGAAAACCTATCAACCGATCATCGGCATCGGAACATTCAGCTGAGGTTTGGATGTGGGACTCACGTTGTTCCAAAATCAATACCAATGATCAAGCAGTTATGCATGGCCGTCTGTCTGCCCTTGGTCAACCAACCGAAGTACTTTTCCTTCTTAGAAGTGGACACTTCGGAGGATTTTCTCATGTATTTACCCCCGATTGTCGACATTTTGGCGGTCTAACGTTGGTAACCTCGATTTCACAGCAGGACTAGGACGGCAAAAACATCCAGGGTTTCTATTGCGCCTGCTAGTTAGTGCGGATGTAGCGAGTTAATAATTAATCGCCCACTATTCTCCGCTGTCTCAGCCCATTCGCTTCACGTTCGCCGAAGCCCTGCATGCCGTATTGTGATGTCGAGAAGCCCGTGGAAATACCGCTGCATGAAGTCACATGCAGCATTTCGTTTTAGGGTTGTATGCTTATGCCAATGTTTCTGGACTGTCTAGGGTATACGCCCCTGTCAATCCTACCTCTCCGTTAAGAAGGCCCGTGATGCAAAGCTGACTGCAATAAGTTAGACTTTTTGCTTTCGTGAAGTAGTTGCCACGTCGTGCGGCTGAGTTTACAACCCACAAATCACGTCGCCCATTACAGCCCAACCTTTCTTGACCACTTTTATGTAAATTACTAGCGTTATGCTACTGCAGACGGCATACAGGACGGGTTAGCCCATTTTTATACAAAGCAAGGTCAGATTAAGAAACTTGGCCCCGGCTTAAACAGGGAAAAACTAGCATTCAGTGCCAACATAACAGAAACTGCCCCTCCCCTTAGATCCCAAATCAACCTAGTGGTTGATTCCAAAAAAGAAAAAAAATTGTTGTTCAAGTGCACGTTTCACATACTTGAAGTTCTTTATCGATCTCGGTGTCGGCGCAAAACAGACAATCACAATGGAGCAGCAACCTGAACTTATAGAGTGGAGCCCCAGGCTCCTCCCAAGGACAGTCACGAGGAATGCTGATCAGAACCTTCCTATTCATACAATCAGCGGAAGCGCCCGTGGCATTCCAGCACCCTTGCCCATCTCGAGTCCCTTGGTGAAGTTGCCGCAAACATATCCAGACCTACGGGAGCATGGAAGCTGGGTAGGGACTCCACTGCCCAGTGCCCCCGACCATACCAATGAGGTCGAGGACCGGCGCCGAAAATACCTCCAGCAAGGACATGAGCTGCAGACCGAACGCGTGAAAGCAAATCGCCTCGAGGCTGCTGAACGGAACTTCTCCTCCGAGGCAATCGCCTGGAAAGCAAGATGCTCAGAGTTCGAAGCGGGATTGGCAAAAGAGAGAGAAGCGCATGATCGAACACATCTCAGGCTACAGCAAAAACAGCAAGACGTTGAAAAGTTCATTGCCTTATTGAATGATGCCAATGACAAACTGGGAAGCGCAATAAACCCTAACCAGGTTCGCCATCAGCTTGAAGATGCAGCGATTACTTCACGAGCCAAACTTCTACGGTCGAGCATCCGCGGATTTGCTGAAGATTTTGGTGAGATTGACGCAAGGGATCATCCCAATCCGAAATTTTCTTATTCTTTGTTCAAAAAATATCTTTGTGTATCCGAGGATACCCTGGCCACCTACATAGAATCCCCTTCAGCTCGTCCTAAAATTCTCCGTCCTCTGTTATGGGCCTTTTTATTTAAGGAGGTGTTTGATCAATTCTTCTGGGCGCCTCCCGATATAAGGAGTGCGCTGAGAACTCTCCGTGGTTTGATAGGTATTTCCTACCCGAAGCGAGAGCCCGCCTATGACCCGATAGCTAACAACCTACCCAGAGCCGTCGCAGGAGGCTTTGTCGAGCGAAGAAACAGAAGTAGACCGAAGGCAAATAACGTGGAGGGCTAATACTACAAACATGGTGCTAGAGAGATTGAACGAGAGTACGTATGAGACCCGTGACAGTCAGCAAGATTTTGTTTCGGCGAAGGCACAGGAGCTTGCTGGATTACTAGAACCCATTATCTGTCGTGATAAGCGGACTCTCTATGATCCACTGGTGAAGCTTTTGAACGAAAGTTTGGAACTCGACCTAGTGTTGAGCCAGCAAGTGGCGATCTGGAGTTGGAACTTCCCCAAGAGACTGCCCTGCCCGTTTGATAAGAAGATCCACACATCAATTCACAAAAGACAGCACGGGCAGATATATGAGATACAACTAGTCCTGGCTCCCGCCCTTATGAAACGAGGCAAGTCTTCAGGAGAAGACTTCCTTGACCAACATGTGCAAGTCAAGATGGATGTGGAAATCGACACCCCTCGCCAGGATAGTAGCGACTCTCGGTCCGTCGGGAGGAAAATTGCCGACAAATTTACGGCCAAAGTCCTAGGCGGCACCTGATCTGCAGTTTATATTGCCCATAGCTCGGGTTTATCTTGGAATCAGTGACCATCGTTTTTTCGCTCTCTTTATCTAGTCTGCCTTCTTTGTCGAGAGTATTTGTCAGAATTTCGTACCATTATGCTTGTGCCCGGATCATCTATACTTCGGAGACATTCGAGATCCAAAGCCCTAATTGTTGTCATAAACTCCGGAAGATCCACCGCCTCTAACATAGTAGGAAGTCAATTTCACCTAGCTAGATACCCATTTGCGTGCACTGCACATATGAAACATGCATATCCGTGAGGTTCCATGCTATATGTGATAAAGGGGCTGAACCATTAACAATTCCTATTAAATGGGCACAAAAGATAGGTCCAAGCACTGCCTGGTCTATACTAGGTACTTTTTTCTGGGGGGGTTTTTTTCTTAGACATCCACCTCCAGGGCTGCATGGATGCACATCCCATGTATTTTGTATTTTGTAGAACCTAGGATATGTAGTACGTAGTGAAGGGAAACGGTGTATCCACGGATACTTTATGGTACTTTACTTCGTCAACATATTCCATGTATGTACCAAATTTTATTTTCTCTATTATAACAAGAACTACGTAAAGTACTGTATTGTATATTGTTCACTGAAATCCTGACTATTCAGCCGCAACTGCACCTGACCTCCAGGGCTGGCTTAGTCTAAAAAGATCCATGGATTAAATATAAATCGGCGGCTACTCCGCTACCTACGTAAATAGCTCAATGTATATTGAATCTGCCGAGAGGGATTCAAATCCCTGTAAGCAAGTCACACGAACCTTGCTGAATGTCCTTGTTGGCACCATAGCAAGGTGGATGATCTTTTTCGGGGATCTTTATCATGCAACGTCAAGGTCGCCGTTCACTCAGCCTCCCGGGTTACAGTGGAGCCCGTGTCAAGCATCTAGACGTTTCAAAATTTCTTTACCCCTCAATATATTCAAATTTTAATTATGCTGCATATCCATCCCCTGCTCTTGCAATTCCGAGAAAAATAAAGAAAGAAGAAAGGCGTGCTGTTTCGGTACGGAATACATGTACTGTTCTATTACTTAACGTATTTCACATACGAGCCGGCCACACAAACGAGCCGGCCACCCCACCTAAAACGCGTCAATTAATTTAAACCCTACATCTTCAACCATCTACCATGCCACCAATTCGATCTCAATCCTCTAGAAATTTAGAGGAGTAAGAGGGTAGAATCTTACTAGCTATATAGGCTTTTAAGAATCGAGAAATCTCTTCAATTCGTGAAGTAGTACGTCGTTTTAATATACTACGTTTAACACTTTAGGACCGACTACATAGCTACTAATAGCGCGCGAATTCTCGCGCTAATTTATCTAAATTGACTAAAATTAAAGAGGAGTCTCTTAAAAAATAGATTCTCTCTATAGATCTATATAGAGTAGCCCCCCGGCCCTCTATAGTATAAGAAATAGCGGATCTTCTTCTTTAAAAGCGTAGAACTACCCTAGTTCTTTCGGTCGGCTAAAACTAGGTTACGAATTTCGTTAAACGATATCCTCTCCTCTCCTCCTAATTCTCGAAACGGTATAATTATAAGCGTACGAAATATAAAGACCTTAAAATCATTAAGGAGTAGTTTAATTTAGTTTAAAAGATAATCCTTTAATTTAGAATCGACCCTAACGATATCTATAACTTCGATAAGACCGGTTTTATAATAGGATTAACTATAACTATAAAGATTATTATAAAGAGTAAATACTATAGTCGGAGGCCGGTTTTATAACCTAGAAATTAAGAGTAGGTAACTATTTGTTATGATATAATCAGACGTGAGGCCATTCCCAGATTGGTGCCTCAGGCCTATAGGAGGTTTGACCTCTCCGGAGGGGGATCGCCCATGTTTCCATATCCTTCCGAGAAGGGTTCCCCGCGGGAACGAGACCCCGCTCCACGTGTCACATTTCCTCCCGCTATCAATATGGGGAGACTGTATATAAATTGGACCATATGGAGGAAGCCTGACGGCTCTTCAAGAAACAGTCTTTGACTTCTGGGAACCACCTATCTTGTTACCTTCTCCTACCTGATTGACAGGCACCTACCCTGACTTGTAGAGTATCTTTTAACACTATTATTAAGTATACAAATACTTCTAGCTAGGCCCTTCCTCCGTATATAGTTTTTAAAGGTAAAGTCTTTATTAAATTATAGTTCGACGGCCTCCTAGAGGATTAGCGCTTCGAAGTTAGTCCTAACGGCTAGACCTCCGATAAAATTAGACTTTATTAGCTTAAAAAGCTTTTTATTCCTAGTACTTCTTTATATATAAAGGGGGGGTATCGGCTTTTAATACTCGACGGCTATAGAAGTTATTTAACGCCTTAATTTAATAAAATTTATAAGTAAAATAAAGTAATACTAATATATATACTAGTATATTTATCTTATCTTTTATAACCTCTAGATATTAGTTATTTTATAGTATTAAAACGTACGTATAGTCGGATAGTTAAGATAAAAATACGGACTAGGATCATGTTAAAAGATACTCTACAAGTCAGGGTAGGTGCCTATCAATCAGGTAGGAGAAGGTAACAAGATAGGTGGTTCCCAGAAGTCAAAGACTGTTTCTTAAAGAGCCGTTAGGCTTCCTCTATATGGTCCAATTTATATATAGTCTCCCTATATTAATAGCGGGAGGAAATGTGATACGTAGAGCGGGGTCTCGTTCCCGCGGGGAACCCTTCTCGGAAGGATATAGAAACATAGGCGATCCCCCTCCGGAGAGGTCAAACCTCCTATAGGCCTAAGGCACCAATCTAGGAATGGCCTCACGTCTGATTATATCATAACAGATCAACTATATTAATAAGCTTAATTTCCTCGGAGTATATCCCCTTATATGAATTAAAGCTTTTAAATCGGAGACGATTAAAAATAGCTTCTTAGCTACCGGTTTAGTCCTATTTAGATCTAACCGAGTACTCTTAAAGCTTAATATCTAGCTTCGAATACCTACCCTCCCTCCGAGTAGGGGTAGTAATTAGGACCCTAAAACCCCGTCGAACTATATCTAGTTATAAAAGCAAGTATCGTTAATTAAAGTATTACTTCGTATAAGATTAAGGAGCCCTCTAAGTCCTCTTAATTCCGCTATAAACTAGGTTTTAAAGGTATACTAGATCACTATACAATCCGCCGCCTTTCTTAAGAAAGAAGTAAGCGAATTACCCGCCGCTAATAAGAAGTAGAAGCAAAAGCGTACTAGATCCCGGAGGTAGATACCCGCTAAAGAAGGCCTCTTAGTTTAAGAAGCTTCTCAATTGATTGCTACGCCGGTAGTAGTAGATAAAGCACCTCCCCCCCTTAGCGTAGGGCTGTATCGCCGGGTTTACATTCATCTATACGGGGCCCACAACGTTATAGTGGGTATAAGAACCCAGGGTATAAAATCAATAGATGCCTAGCTAGATAGATGATTTTAGTGTATTTAATTTAATGGAGTTATGGTTGAGATAAATGCATTTAAATTCAATAGGTTGGGTGGGGTGGCCGGCTCGTTTGTGTGGCCGGCTCGTATGTGAAATACGTTAGGTACTTCGTCTTGACAGTAAATTACGGCCCTATGTGCCTTGAAGGTTCTCCTAGTGCATCATTCTGGATTGACTGTCTGATTGGCGCCTTCTACTACAGGGGAATCGGTCCATTCAAAGTGTGATATTGTTGGATATGCATTATCTTTCAGACCATCGATAGATATCGAAGAGGGGAATACTCAAGGCAGTATGCTCTAAGGCATACGGGCCGATTCAGAACTCGTAGTTCAGCGTCATACCCAAATTTGTATACAAAGGAACTCAGGTGTACTGCCCAGGAAGTGGATTCAGAGAGGTGCAGGAGTGTATATTCTCAATCTGTGTCTATCTGCTACTTGTAACCTCATAATTCAACGCTTACATAACAACCCATAGAAAAATAAGAGAGATAAGGCGGGGCAATGCGTAGTGAGGAGACAGGAATATCAATCCTCAACTTGATAATAGAAAATTGATTCGACTATGCCCATTAGCACAATAAGATATAACAAGAACAAAGCACAAAAGAATTGACATAACACCTCGCATGTGCCCTCGTATCCCTTCTGTGTCCAAGTAAGATGAGTAACTGCCTAGTCATATTCGGCTTTGATGTTGTGAGAAGCCTGCTTGATACCGTCGATGTAGAAATTGAATTCCATCGCAGCCCCGGAAGGGACCATCTCCACATCATAGAATAGTTTCTTGTTCTGCTTCTTCCCATCGGCGCTGGTGAAGTCTTTGAGCTTAGATATATTCACATCGATGGCGACCTTCAGATCGCACGAGGGCTTCACAGCGTCATCACAGCGGTGAGGGGGATCACTGCTATCGCATTGAACCAGTCTCTCGGTGAAGCTTCCTTGGAAACTCTTTTTCAAGAGGCGCGCCCAGGAATGTCGCACGGGGTCGATCTTGGAAACGCTCTCTCCCTATATTGTGACAAGCGTAAGTTGATGATGCTTTAAGTGGCCGATGGAGTTCATCTGATACCTTTCGAATATACCACGTGACTCGGTTATCGATTATAAAAGCACCTTCATCATCATGCCACTTGTAATCCGGTTCGGACTTGCTATGTACCGAGGGATCGAATTTTTGATAGTGCGGCATCCCGAGACTGTAGCGAGAGATGGTTGATGTCACGGTAATGGGAGCGACACGTTGAGGTCTAAAGTCGTCGTCATCATCCTCTGCACCCATGCTTTGATCTTGAGCAAAACCTTTGTAGACTGCTCCACGGCAAATTGCTGTTCGTCTGTATCATGTTGTCAGGTCGAAGCCCTGGAAATCATCATCTAGTTTACGTTGACTTACGGCTTCATTCCCGTTGATTTGATGACGTTTAATCGGGCCTTCGAGTACCTCTCTTTTAGATGCCGATGGAGATATGGGCTTGACCCTAGCCCACCGACGAGGATAATCCCCTGAAAGAAATGAGTTGAATTACCCCGTTTGCGTGAAATATACCTGCGTTTGCCGACTCACCTGGAGAGTGAGTTTGGTCTTACTGATTTGCTCATCAACCAGTTCATCAATACGGGCGAATGACTCTGCAAGGGCTTCCATAAGGTCCTGTTCTCGGAACTGGATCCTTCCATTCTTGATATGGGGGAGTCACGATAAATCGTCTGACACTTTATCACCGCCCTTGTAAGCCTCGGCGGGAATGGGAACTGGATATTCTTCTTTGCTTTGCTTTGGGACAAACTCGCGCTTGTATTTCTTTTCCCACTTATCGCCCATGATCTCTTTGATACCATTGGGACTGAGATGCGACCAGCGTCGGCCGAGGCGATTCTTGCACAGCTGCTGGAAGCATTCGTCAATCAATACACCACCACATAGGGCCCCACCCACCACATAGGGCTCCTAGAGTATGTCCGTGTCAATAGTCGTTATGAATGGTGTGTCAAGTCCTCTAGATACATAGAAGGCAGCTCACCTGTTCCCTCGACAGCCTCATCCATTGTAATTGGGTTCGTCGATGTAATTTTGTAGCTGATGAGATCCTGTGAGACTCATGTCAGTCGCCCGGAGGTCAACTGAGATGTTACAAGCATAAGTACTTACAACTGTTCCACCCCCTGCATCCAAGATAAGCCACATCTTGCCGGATTTGACCAAACTCTGGTGTTCCGGATCAGTGAGAGTCGCCATCGCAGCCGCCTCCGGTTCAAGGACAAAGCTGAGCCTAGTCTTGCCGATATCTCGAGGTGCCATTATTCCTGCCTTTTCCGCTGCCTCCTGCATGCTTTGTCTGGCGTATCCCTTCCAAATTGCGGGTACGGTTATCATAATGTGAAATCTCAAGAAGGGTAGAAACTGGTCCCCACGGGATTTTTCAATCACTTCCAGTGCATGTTTCCATTGAAACCGTAGGTAGTCAGCGACCAGGTCGACCGGCTTCAGGTTCTCCCTTTGAACCTTTTCTTTTGTCGCAAGGTAGAATGCGGAGGACTTGACACCTTCTTGGAGATCCTCATTGTTGAGGAGGAGAAGCTTAAACCAGCGGATTGGATCGCCCACATCAGGGAGATCATAACCCCACCAGCTGTTTTCATGTTCATATAAGAGCTCAGTCGGGGCTTTACCCTCATCACGGCCGCAGCCTGGCCATTCGCTGATCACACTGATGTTCTTTGCGAGGAACTCGCTCTCCGTTGCGTATGCGACTCCGGAAAATCTGGAACCCACGAGCAAATATGGTCAGTCATACGTACGCAAGAGGAAAATTGGGGACATACGTAGTTCCAAAGTCAATGCCGATAACAAGAACATCGTCTTTCTCCGTGAGGTTCAGGCCGTCGAGATCGGGCTCACTGCTGTCTGAATAGCTGCCGCCATCCTCGTCCCAGTCATGATCTTCGAAATCCATCCTATTGGTACTCATGGTGACTATTTGTATGCTTTAGATCGCTCCTAGAACCGATGTTGAACAAAAGGTTATGGTGAAGATGGACGTAGCTCCTGAGGTCTTTCGTGGGCAGAGTCCGTCTATATAGTTTATAATCTCACAATCGAAGTTGACTTAGCTGCCTGTGGCATACTACCGTAACATACTACTGTAAATAACCGTTTTGCTCAAGACATATTTTGAAATACTGAAATACTGAAATTTGCAAGTTTGTGTATCTTACCGAATTCCGGTCTCGACCCCTGTTATCTTTCGCTAGTTATTTATTGAAGGAACTGTTGTTGGCTTGTTTCCCCACATCTCCAGTAGTTCTATTTACGCCTTACCTTCCACCTCTGGTCTCAGTGCCTAGTCGAGAAAACCGAAGAAAAATAGAGAATATTGGAAAATACTTTGCTGTTCAAAAACAAACTTCAACTTAGCACTATGAATGACTACGATCACCATAACATTTCCGAACCAGCGAAAAGCCAGGATTTCCTGCAACCGACTACATCTACTGGCACAACGGAGCATGAACAGCCACCCCAACTAAAGGCTGTTACCTCGGAGGATCAGGATCTTGAGTCTAAATACAAGCGAGCCTTAGAAAAGCGAACTAAGCAGCGCGATGCCTACAAGGAGCGGTATCAGGTAGCAGTAACGAAATTGACCAAACACAAACTTTCCGACGGAGGATTCCCACGGCTATTTGATCAGCCGGGTGACAATTCTCCGGGACAAAATCTGGAATTTCAGTCTTCATCATTATGAAGAGGAAAAAGGGGTCACCACTCGTGCACGAGAAACCCGACCGGATCGCGTCTTCGTTGAGTATGCTCAGGGAAGCCTACAAAGCGAAATAACCCTTCAAAAGGCCCGTCGAATCTTCCAACTGGTGCCCCATGATCATTGAAGCTTTTCTGTGGAATTATCTTGTCTTTCGAGTCTTCAACCAGTTCTGGTGGGCGGGCAAGCATGGCAGCCATATGGGAAATGTTTATGCGATTATGAAAAGGAGTAAGAGGCTGATAGCGTTGTCTCAAGATCAAATGAGGCTCTCGCTGACTATTTGATAAGACATAGACTACTCGACCACGGCTGAGCTTCAGAGTTTCCAAATGTGGTCTGCTACTACAACCAAGCTCATCCGTGAGTTCCAAAGGCGCGAGGAGCCCGGATGGACTGGGGGTTACGGAAAATCTTTCGATGATCTCGTGAAAGAGATATTTGCAACGATTGAACCACATCGTTTCACCGAGCTTGGTGATATGAAAAAAGAAATCCGCGGGATCTTACAAACCGCAATCGAACTGGACGGAGAGCTCAGCCAGCTGCTGGCCCATTTCAAGTGGGAATTCTCCAGTCCTGGAGAAGAATTCGACGAGAAACGGATGAAACTTGCGGAAAGTGAGGAGCTTCATTCAACGAAACAAATAAACGTCATCATCTGTCCGGGAATCACGAAATGGGGACAGTCCGGAAACTTTGACAAGGTAGACTGGCTTGTACCCATCAAGGTGTCCTGTTCCACTCCAAACGCTCTGCCCCTTTCGATGAGTCGTAAGGCCAGGGACATGCATTACAAACTAACACAGTCCATAAATAAGTTCAGACAGAAGTAAAGACTCAGAGTTTGTATTTTAGCAGTCAGTTACCAGAAAGTATCGCAAATAGTGCTATCCTACTTCTAGTATATTGCTACTTGGCAACTCCCCTTATTTCTATGTCTAAATAATAATAGATCTGGAGAAAGATGGTTGATGGAGGAAAGGGAGAAAACTATCAAGATATCTCTATAGATAGCTAATAAGATCTTACCCTTCTACTCTGCCGACTTTTAAGAGCTTCAGGCGCAAATTAGTAGCATAGTAGGTGGCTGAATGAATTGAGGGCTTACTCAAGGATGTGATCTGTTGGCGCTGGGTAGCTCGTTTGTGAATTACGTACACTATGTTTCCTGTAGCTTCGGTATTTTGCCATAATACAAGTTGGATTTGCAAATACTCACCTGTAAGAGTACTGGAATACGTGGTAGCATAAGAGAATGCGTAGCGTGTCAAAAATGAAGATGCCTTGACTTTCGCCAAGTAAAAGGCTTGAGGAGGCTTGAGGAGGCTTGAGGAGGCTAGAGCGGGGAGATCCTTGCCATCACACGTGGTTTGTATCACATCAAAAGATCCTTGGATGGTTATCACATTCTCCGCGGAACTAATTGAAGAACTGTCTACCTGAGTAGTAGGTTACCGCGGCGAGGCTGATTTTTGTGAGGAGCACCTGCAGTCAGCTTCCGTTAAAGCTAGTGCCGCAAACCCGGGTGAAATCTTGCATGGATTCTCCACTATTGCTTTTTTTCACCCTCTGCCAACAATTCCTTGGCCTGCAGAATGGTGGCTTTCACTTCGGCCGAGTAGACCCCTTGGGTGCTGCGGACAACACCAACGTCCCTGAAGGCAACCGAACGATATTGCCAAAGCCATATGAACACAGGCATTTAGTTCGGTTACCTATGGTTGCATGTAGACCTGATTGCGATCTCTTACCCTTTCTGGGTATTGTCCCCGCGCGAGTATAAACTGCAATTCCTATGCTTCACTTAATCTAGCGTTAGACAATAACAGGTCATGACAACATGACTACTTATGCCCCTACCATCACTGTTCCGATACCTGCAACATCCGCGACTCGCTGGCAGGATGCAATTGATCGGCTTGATCCCGATACCCGAGCTTCACTCGCCGGCGTTGCAACCCGCAAACTTGACATCCTACATCTTGTCATAAAGACAGCTGATGAAAAGCGAAAGATCTGTATCTCCAAACAATGGAAGCTAAAGACGCCCAGTGGAAAGACCATTATTCTGCGAGACGTGCTGGAAAAGATCGCAGGATGGATAAACCGCCTTATCGCTGTCGGAGACATGATCGTCCAGTACGATCCTTCTCATGCTGCACTTCCATGGGCCGCTTTTCGATTCCTTTTGAACCTCGCAGTTGGTGATGTTCAGGTTTGGGGAGGCATGCTCGTGCACCTGGAGACAATCGCCCGACTTCTTTACCGTTGTGAAGTTGTTGAGAATATGCACCTCAAACGCTCTTTTAGCATGATGGCTCATCTGCAAGAAGCCGTGACCCAGCTCTATGTTGATATCATGAGCTCTCTGTCCAAACTAGTCAAATACTTTAAACAAGGCTTTCCAGGTATGACCTATGTTGAATACAACCCATTCGGGCACGGAACTGACTTAGCTAGAACGCACCCTTTGGAGTGCTACTCGATCCGACCCTAAACTACCAGAAATGACAGCTGTCTACGCCCAAGAACAAGAAGTTTTGAAATGGACGGCGTTGTCTGACTCAGAGCTTTCCCAAGCAACAAACACCCAGGCTGCTTCTTTAATCGACAAAATGGCAGCGATTTCTAGAAAGTTGGATGCTGATCTACCTCGTCTGATCGACACTAGCCTTGTCATGCGTCATTCTATAGACAAGAAAATGATATCCAATATTCTTTCATGGCTGTGTATGGTACCCACCACTCTGCACCTTAGGGATATTGCTACAAGCAGAATGCCGGGGTCCGGATTATGGCTCTTGAACCACACAGAATTCCATACCTGGCACACTTCAAGTTCATCCGCGATATTGCTGCTACATGGTGTACGGGGTTGTGGAAAGTCAACGATCGCTTCATTTGTCGTCGACCAATTCCAACAACCCCCGGTTGTGCCTGGAGGGAGCCCAGTAACATGCGCGTATTTCTTCTGTGATGACTCCAATGCGGAGCCGGAACGAGGAAGGGCAGATAGTATTCTCCGCGGTTTGATTAGGCAGTTGGCAGTGGACTCTGTCACTAGATCCATTGACCAAGCTGTACTCTCTTCGTACGAAAAACGGCTCGAAGCCGCCCAGCAAATGAGAGTGGACATGGCAAGATTGAATGTTGAGGAGTGCCTCTCCATGCTTCTGGATCTCACTGCGACTAACCCGGCATATATCGTGATTGATGCAATTGATCAACTTGGGCAGGATGAGCGAGCAGTTCTGATTGAAACCATGAAGAAGCTGGTCGATCAGTCTGCGAGCATCATTAAGGTGTTTTTTACCAGTTGCAATAACGCTCATGTTGAGGCACTACTACTCGGTAATACCAAGCTCCGGGTCACTTCTGACTGTGTTCAAACGGACGTAAGAGGGTTTGCAAATCGGCAGGTAGAAGAGGCAAACGCAAGGAGACGCGTTTTGAACGGAACTGCGACGAGTAAGTTGATAGACAAGATGAAGGAGCATTTGATAAGCAGAGCCGGGGAGATGTGAGTATCGCTATGTCGCCTTTGACATTGAGACAATTTGGACAAAGAACCTAATCTCCACTGTATTTATAGGTTTTTGTGGGTCACTCTTCAGTTGGAATTTCTCTGTCGCAAAAGAACAGAGCAGGATATCCTGACTGCAATCGAAACCAACTTAACTCCAGACCTTGACCAGATCTATGGCCGCACCCTCCGTCGTTTCAATAAGCAAGACTCGACTGCCACCCAGGCTATCGTGCACGTATTCTCATTACTCCTCTATGCCCAGAGACCCTTGCATCCTACAGCCGTGGAACGTACCCTTGCACTCAATCCATCACTTACCAGAGCTGGGGCAGTGGATCTCGAAGATCTTTGCTGCAGTCTAGTCATACTAGATGTGTCACAAGGCGTGGCCCGGTTCTGCCATCCTTCCGTGCGTGACTACATGCGCCAGCAGGACCTGTTCTCCGCACAAGTTGCTCATCAAATTCTTACCGATATCTGCCTGCTGGAATGCGCTTCCGGCCCGAGCAGTGTTCCCTTTGTTGGCGATGAGACCCCCGTGCAAGACTTTTATAATTACGCCGCTGTATACTGGCCAAAGCATCTTCGGGAATGTGAAGCCTCGGGTATAGATTACGATTTTGGCAAACATGCCGAATCGTTTGTCGCAGGCCGGGATGATGGGTTCCTCAGTCCAGCCTTTCTCACCTGGATGGACTGGATAGCACAGGTCTGCCACGACTTGCCCCCATACCATCGTACGCGAAATCTATTCGAAAACACCCTCAACGACTCGTTCTCACCTTTATTTCTCACTTGCGTATTTGGGGTACGCAAGCTCCTACTGTACGTCCTGGAAGTCCTTCCAGACGTGGATATAAATCAGCAAAGTGATACAGGGCATACCGGAATTTATCTAGCGAGCTCTTACGGTCACCAGGATGTTGTGAGCATCTTACTAGACCGCAACGCTGATTATAAGCTGGAATGTGGTGCATTCGGTACTATCACACGGGTCGCATGCTTCAGAGGCCATCTAACCGTCGTCCAAGACCTCCTGGGGCGCATAGATGAACTAGAATCCCCCGAGTCTTTCTCTCGCGCATATAAGGCTGCTTGCTTGGGTGGCCATGCGGAGATCGCCTTATTCCTCGCGAAGAACTGCACAGCAGCCCGGTCTGCGGACCAACACTCCAGCATGCTCCAAGAGACCATCGAGGCAGGTCTTCCCAAAGTGCTTGAATGGCTTACCAAGCCGAGCACCCTGAAATCGTGGGGTCTGCCAAATTTGACTCTCAATACCCAGACTGGCTTGGTCACTGTGGCGATCAAGCAAGGCCAGGTCGCCGTCCTGAAATCACTCCTCGAAAAGCGAACACATCTCATGCAAGCACTCCCAAAGGATTGCATACCCATCGCCGCAACTTCTGGTTACCTGTCTATGGTCGAGTATCTACACAGCATTGGGGCCAATCCAGACGAGCAAGGCCACTTTGGCTCTGCATTACGAAGTGCTAGCTTGGTAGGCTGTGAACCTATCGTCCGCATGCTTATCGGGAAGGGAATTGACGTTGGGCTCTGTGGAGCCGAGGGCGATGCGCTACAGGCTGCGTCGATGAACGGTCATGTCGGGGTGATGGAGCTTTTGATCCAGGCTGGAGCTAATGTTAACCAAGTGGGCAAGCCCTGGGGAACCTGTGTGCAGGCCGCAGCTTGGTACGGCCATAAGGACGCAGTAGAGCTGCTACTTTGCCACGGCGCAGACATTTATCAGAAGGGCCATTCCCTTGATGCGTTGCACGCTGCCATCGAAAGCGGTCATGAGGAGATTGCGAAGTTGCTCCTGGCCAAGGGATATCAGCCACCAAAGGGCACATCTCTACCTGCGGTAGCGCGGGGAGATCACGGGAGCTCTCTATACCTCAAGGGTAACCCATCGACTACGCCGGATTTGACTAATAGGGAACAGGCACAGGTCGAAGATGACGAAGAGTCTGATACATGCTCAGATTCAGAGACCTCTGATGTCGAGAAGTCTTCTAACCGGACTAGCACACGCGATGACAATGACGACAATGACGACAATGATGATTGCGACGATGCGCGTGCGCAACACGATGACCTCGCCAAAGGCACTCGAAATCTAGAACTAAGTGCCGTAACTGGAGATGTACAATCCCTACGCTACCACCTCCTCCGCGGAAGGTTCTATGATGGGGGGATTGCTAGTGCAATTGAAAGTGCTGCAATACACGGACAACTTGAGACATTGAGTCTCCTTGTTACCAAAGGCATTTCCCGAAAGTTGCTGTCCGATGCAGACGACGA